TTGCTGCCGTTGCTGCTGCTGCTACTGCCACTCCTGCTACTGCTGCTGCTGCTGCTGCTGCTACTGCTGCTGCTGCTGCTGCTGCTGCTACTGCTGCTGCTGCCACTGCTGCTGCTGCTGCTGCTGCCGCCGCTGCTGCTGCTGCTGCTGCTGCTGCTGTCGGGGGCCAGTGTGAAGTGTGTAGAGACCAGAGCCCGGCTCAGCGGTAAAGGTGGCGAGAGGCGCGTACGTGTCCCCGTCGACACAAACCGCAGTCTCGCCAGAAGGCTCAATCCACACATACTAACTCATAAGCGGCCTCACGCCCACCAAGTTCCTCGAGAACAAGGGGACGTGGAAGCCGGTCAGAGAACCGGAGGGAACAGCCGGGCACGAAAGTGTAGTAGTGTAGCGAGCAGTGATTGGTCCCGAAGTGGGATCAGCCAGTGCTACAGAGACTGGTGTAGGAAGCAGGGTAAGTGTCATGCGGTCGCGGAAGAAGTAGTGCGAAGCTCCGTAGTCCAGAGTGAAAGAAAGCGAAGCGTCCTCCGGAGCACTCCGGAGTCCAGAGTGAAAGAAAGCGAAGCGACCCTAAATCCTGGACTAGTGTCTACACAAGTACCTACACTAGCAAAAGGAACCTTAGCAAGACTAGCACCTAAGCTAACAACACTCGAGTAAACAAAGTAAGAAGCACTAGAGTCAACAACAGCATACATAGCATGAGGAGTTCCTAAGAGATCAACCAACTGAGAAGCCGACATGCCCCACAGAGCGGAGCTGTACGGCTGAACAAGGGGAAGCCAGTCAGGGGTAGGGCCGTCATCGCTGTAGGCCAACCGAACCGTGTCAGTAAGCTAGGGAAAGCACTGACCCGGTGGGTGGCTGCGGCCACAAGGCTGGCCGCGGCGGGCACCTGTCAGAACGTGATAGGTGCAGGGAGGGTGGACGACACCGAGCTGTAGCTAACGCAGTCCTGACCCCTGCCCCGAAACCTACTGCTGTCGCTGCTGTGAGGGGAGGGGCTACTGCTGCTGCTGCTGTCACTGAGTCAGGTATCACGCCGCTGCTCCACCCCCTGCGGCTGGTAGACCAGTAGGTGGCTGACGAACCCGGGCGTCACCTCCACCGGCTGCAGCAGAGGAGTCACCGGGTGCTGCACGAGGCACTCCTCCAGCCCTTGCACTCCCGCCGCCGCTGCTCGCCACGTCACCCCACCGCCTCCGCTTGCACCTTGACCACCCCTCCTGCCACTCCTACCTCGAGACCGCGAAGAAGTCGTAACAGCAGCTGCGATCACGTCAGTAGTGACAGTGGCGAGGGAGGCAGTAAATGTGGTCAGCTGAGGGACAGTGCACCCGTGAAACAGTGGAGGGGGCACAACACCAGAGGCAGAGGCTACCGATTGGAGGTTGCCCTCGACGTCCTTGAGGGCCGACTCAAGGACCTCGATAGTGAGCTCGCTAGGGTGCTTCAGAAGAAGCACATCACGAACCAAGGCAAGGCGGTCAGGGACGCTAGTGGCGATGAATTACATAGTAATCGCCATGGGGGGAGGGAGCAGTGTAAGCTGTGCGTCAGTGCAAGTAACGCGGTAGCTAGAATCGAGCGAGTGCAGATAAGTGATCAAGTCAGCAGTGCGCTCAAATGAGGCGAGGCCAGGAAACAGGAACGGAAGGAACAGGCAACCAGGAGAGACAATGGTGGGAGTAGCATAGCGGGCCTTGATCGCAGTCAGGAACTCACTAGCCGTGCGAACCTGAGTGAAGTGGATCTCCTCAGACTCTGGGAGGAGGTTGCTGAGGGCGAAGCAGGCCGCAGCATCACGCGACTTCCACGCAGTCACGTCAGCACGCTCGCGTGCATAACGGTCACTGTCTACAGGTGTGGGGTTAGCTGCTAAGGGTGTAGGGCTAGTGAGCTCAGGAAGGTCACCGAAAGCGTGCGCCCATAGAGTCTCGTGTGCCTGAACCTGGCTCTCTAGGAGGCGGCGCACACGCAGGAGCCAGACCGAGAACTCGAGTGGCCTACCCTCAGCGTCAAAGTGCAGGACCCTAGGGATCGCCATAGCGGACGCGTAGAGGTGGATATTGCTGCTGCCAAAACCCTAAACGCCTAGAGGGTCTGAGCAGGGCGCGGTGGGCTGAGCGAAAGGCGCGACGCGACGAGACAGCAGGGCACGACGCGACGGGGCGGGTAGGACGTGACTCGACGGGACAGCAGGGCGCGAAGCGACGGGCTGGGGGCGACTCGACGGAAGGGGGGGGGACGAGACGCAACGGGCATGGGACGGGACGGGCAGCACGACGCGCTGACGGGAGGGGGGGACGGGACGGGCAGCGCGACGCGCTGACGGGAGGGGGGGACGGGACGGGCAGCGCGACGCGCAGGGGACGGGACGGACGGGCAGCGCGACGCGCAGGGGACGGGACGGATGGGCAGCACGACGCGTAGGGAACGGGACGGGACGGGCAGCTTGACGCGCAGGGGACAGGACGGGCACGGGACGGGATGGGCAGGGGATGCAACGGGCAGGGGACGCAACGGGCAGGGGACGGGATGGGCAGGGGACGGGGAGGCGCGTGCGACGGGCACTACGAGCGCTACGGGCGCTTCGTGACAAAACGACATGCGTTACGGGCACTTCGCGACGGAACGGGCAAGCGCTAAGGGAGCTACAGGCACTACGGGCGCTTCGTGATGGAGCGGGCAAGCGCTTAGGGCGCTACAGGATGGAACGAACGGCCACAAGAGGCGCTACGGGACGAAACAGGCATAACGAGAACGGTAGACTACGTGCAACGGGTCCGAGAAGCTCTAGCGGGATCCCACAGGATCCTAACGTAGGTTATACCATGTCAAGAATGAAAGTGCTGGTTTGATTAAGGTTGGTTGGGGTAAATAAACCTAACCCTAACAGTTGTACCCCCTATAACACACATCACTAAGACTACAACATTTGACATCCGGGATCACTTATTGAACGCATTTTTCTCAAACAATGGCTGCCACTAGACAAGTTTTTTGAGGCGCCTCAAAGACAAGTTAGAACACAGGTAAACATATGAGTCGATCCAAAAATCACCTCAACATCTACCTCGACAAGTGCGATCACATTCTTGATTGTGCCTTCTAACAAGACATCTACTAAAGAGACATCTACACATCCTCATCCACCACACCCACCCGCTTTCTCAGCCCTAGCAAACATGCGTCCTTCCCTCCCTACATTAGCTCCCTAAACACTTCTTATTTTCTCTCTATTGATGTCGGGCTTTCCTGCGGTCTTTTAACGGGGATCTGTAGGTATCAAGGCGGGTTGGACGTCCACATCAGTTAAAATACGCACCCAGCTTGCACTCCCTATGCCGCCTCTCAACCAATCCATTAACCTTGGAACACGTGGCACGAACGGTAACATGGTGTGGAACATCGAGGGCATGTGGACACAACGAAACGAGGATCAGTTGGAGCTGAAACGCATTTTCAAACGTGCACCATAGGTCATGATCCCTGGTACAAGCATATCTGTTTACAAGATGGTTAAAAGTATTAACCAAAATCCAACAAATTACTATGCAACAATTGCTACAGACATGTATCCTCAGGGAGCGATCCGTGGACAATTCTTGCGTAGATTCCCGGGACCTAGATGCTAAAAAAATGATCTCTGCTAGTGGAATCCATTCGCACCAGTGCATGATCCTCGTCGTATTTAGTATATTCAAAGATGAAGGCACCAAGGGCATAAATAACACGGGTGTGGATGCATTGTCAGGCCATACGCATTCTGTAAAACACATATCGTAGGTTGTGACCCAGTGGGTGGGTGGCGGTGACTGGGGGGTTGGGTAGCTGTTGGGGGTGGGTGGTTGGGTGGGCGCTAACTGGGGGTGGTGGGTAGATGGGGGTGGGTGGGTGAGTGGTTGGGTGTGTAGTGTAGGGCTTGAACGTCAAGTCATGCTTTGATGCCGCATAGTATCAACATTGTTGGTATGGGTTGGGGTTGAGGGTATTGAGACAAGATATCTCTTGGCTAAAACCGGACAAAGGCAGAGAGTGTAGCCTGATTTGAGCAGCCATTGGCTATGGTGATGGTGAGAAGTGATTGTGTTCATGGAAGGGAATGTAACATGTTTTTTTCAACCAATGTGGCGTTCACAAAGGTAGCATTTACTGACTTGACTGACATGCACAAGCACCAAATGCACGCGCATGCAACCATGTGGCAGATCAGGCATCTGGGGAAGCAAACGGCATGGTGTGAACGCAGTGTGCTTAAGAAAGACCATGCAGTCACAAGGAGAGTGCCAGGAGACCGACGAAGCTCACTGACTGGACTGACATGCACGAGCAGCAAATGCACGCTTATGCAACCTATGCTATGCGGCAGATCAGGCAGCTGGGGAAGCAAATGGCATGGTGTGAATGCACTTTGCTAAAGAACGACCATACTGTCACAAAGAGAATGCCCGGAGACGAAAGCAACTCACAGAGTTTACTAACAAGCACGAGCGGCAAATGCGATCACATGCAACCATGTGGCAGATTAGGCAGCTGGGGAAGCAAATGGCATGGTGTAAACATAGTGTGCTAAAGAACGACCATGCAGTCACAAAGAGAGTGTCAGGAGACGAAAGCAACTCACTGAGTTGACTGACGTGCACGAGCAGCAAGTGCAAGCACATGCAACCCATGTGGCGGATCAGGCAGCTGGGGAAGCAAACGGCATGGTGTGAATGACTAAGAATTCACAAGGAGAGTGCCACTCACTCACTCTAAGTAAGACCAAAGCAGCTAGCTGATGCGTGCCGCAATGGCAATTAGCAAAAAAGGGAACTCCACATATATCACTAAAGACAACTACCCAAAGGGAAGCAGCAGACTGAAAGAGTCGAGGCAAGGAGCAGAGGCAAGAGGACAAGTGGCAGGTGCGGGGAAGGGAAGATGTGGGGGTGAGCGGGAGAGAGAATTGAGGAGAGCTTTGAGATGAGTGATAGGGCAGCAGGAACGACAGATGGTTAGGAGGGACAGGAGAGAAGGGGGGAAGAGGGGGAGAGGAGGGGGTTGGAGGAGGGTTTGAGCGGAGAGAAAATGGATGGGAGCGAGGAGATGTAGAGTGAGCGGGTGGGGAATGTGGGTTGGTTGGGGGGAAGGGACTGGAGAGAGGGGATGGATGGGAAAAGGTAATGAGGAGTGTATGGGTGGGGTTGATGAGGGGTGAACAGCAGAAAGGTGAAGGGAGGGTGGGGGGGATCGGGGATGGTTAGGACGTGAGGACTGGTGAGGGGAGTGAAAAAGCTTAGTAGTGAAGGGGGGAGATGAGGAGATAACTAGTACAACGGGCTAGGCACGGGTGCTTGTGAGATCTTTGCGTTCGTTCGTTTAGTCGTTTCCTAGTGCACACACTACTTGCTGGTTCAGGGGGCAATTTGGCAAGAGTTTCACCAAGGAAGGTTGACAACAATGATAGCAACAATATTGGCATGCAAGGCTACATCAAACCTAGCAAAGCTGCTGGTCGACTTCCAGCGCAGCACGCTCAACCACGTGCCAGCACAACTTGGTCAACCGCGCTCCAGCAGAGCAAAGTCGCGGCTTGCCAACGTTGCAAGCTTACGTCGTGCCAACGTTGCAGCAAGTTGGCTGCACAGCGTTGCATCCGCAGAACAACGGTGCACCTGCTTTGCAGGTGCGTGCAGCTGGTTGGTGCTCCACGCCTTGTTACGAGCACAGCGCAGAAGCCTCGTAGACTCCACGCCAGCGACTGCGCCCACCAGCCACGTCGACTTCGGGATACCACCCCCGAGGTCGGCCTCGCAGAAGGCACCCCGGCGACCTTCGCACACGTCGCCCGGATATCCTGGTCGACCGGGCAACCACGCCTGGTCAACCAGCTCGGTCGGTCGCAGATTGCACAAACCTCGGTGCCCCCAATGTTCGGCGCCCTCCACCTTGGGGCCCTGTTGCTCGACACCCAGCTGCTCGGCGTCCAGCTCCTCGACACCCTCCAGCTCGACGTCCCCAGTCTCCCCTGTCGACGTCGATGTCGGCCCTTCCTTCGTCGATCACCACGTTCGGTCGACCACCAGGTCGACATCACTCCTGTCAGCCGGCCACCCAAGTCGGCTGCCCCAAGTCGGCGTCACAAAGTCGACGCCCGTGCAGTGGCCCCCGTGCAGGTCGACCAGCCCTATCGACCAGCTCGCCCATCGGCTGCTCCCCTCACACCCGACGACTAAGTCTTGGAGCTGAGGGTTGGGGGGAGTGGTGTGGAGCTGAGGGTTGGGGGAGCAAGGAAACGAGACGAGATAGGCTGAGCACGCATCAAAAAGAGGGGAGAGGGAGGAAGGGGGGAGTAGGGGATGGGGGGGCGGGTGAGACGAGGAGCGAGAAGGGATGGTGAGGGGAGAGCGCTGAAGATGACAGGAGAGTGGGGAAGATGAGGGGAGTGCGGGGGAGATGCAGGGGAGATGTGAGGGAGACGCGGGGAGAGCTTGGGGGATGTGGGGAGAGCTTGGGGGAGGCGGGATGCGTTACGTTTCTAGAGGGGAGGGAGGGGTACAAAAGCGCGAGGAGGGGGGAGGAGGGAAATTAGAGGAAAGAGGCCACTCCGCTTGTTATGGACAAAATGAGGCAGGGTCGAAGGGCAGGAGCCAAAGGCATTTGCAGCTGTAGTACGAGGCTCAGCACGTGCTCCAAAAGGAGGAGGAATAGCAGGAGGTGCAGCAGCATGTGCAGCACGGCTGTTAAAGGCGTTGACGACTCGCTCTCCTGCAGGAGCAGGCTGATAGAGGTTTCCACGCCGGATCTCCTTTAACTGAGCTTGAAGCACAGAGATGTGTTTCTCTTGCTTCATGAGCTGATCCTGCACGAACTGGAGAGTGGTCTGCAGGTCATGAATGAAGTTGGAGGTGTCATTTTCCTTAGGGATCAATTGCACCTCCTTGCTCAGCTTCTGAATCAAGGCCAGAAGCTTAACAGAATCAGCCTCCAAGTTCCGGATGCGGCACTGCTGCTCCCCAATGAGAATATGCTGCTCCGTGAGTTGAGTCTGGAGTTTGACAGCGATGTCCTTGGTCTCATTGGAGACACCCTCATCAGAGCCATCCTGATCCTCATTTTCGGCAACAGCCTCATGTTCAGCTTCACTTCTATTGATCTCCATGTCAACCATGAAGTCATCATGCTTGAGATCTATGTCAGCAGTAGCAACAACATTATCTCCCTTATTGCCAGCAACAAGCACCTTCTTAGTAGCATCCATCTCTTGACCAGAAGCCACGAAATAGGTTAAGGAGGGAAGATCTCTATAAATCTTTTTTTTTTAATATTTGAGAAGTCTAATTACTTTTACAAATTAATCCAATACAAAATCTCTTAAGGCTAACTTGTTTGCAAGATCTCTCTGTCACCTCAATGATAGAGCAAGATGTACTCAAATGAGTAGATCCTCAACAAGTCCTCGTAGAATTGATGATACTCTTCCACCAAAGGTATATTAGAGTCTTCCACCAAATGGTGGGCAAGAAAAAATAAATTTCTCTTCAAACTTCTTCCCAACGTTGATGAAGAAGATCTTGTAGCTCTAATGGTGGTTTGAAAAAAAGTGGATTGAAGATTGTAGATCTCGAAGATGCACTTGTAGATCTTGAAAATCCCCTCAAAGTCTTCAAAATCTTCACAGCTCATTGGATGAAGTCCTAGATCCACAATCTAGGATCCTTAAAAGAAAAATATATATATATATATAAAAAAATCCAAGTAGCAAATGGCCATACAAGGCCAAGAAATAACCTTGCTCTAGATACCAATATAATGCCAAGGCCCTTTATAATAGAGTTTGAAATTGTTATATAGATCCGAAGTACAATGGAAAACTCTATCTATGCCTCTAAAGAGATCTTGGGTTGTTGTAGGAGAGTATTCTTGAAGCTCTTGAAAGAGTTGTGTAGGGAGTCCTGTGAGAGAGCTCAATGACCTAAGCCAAATAATCACATTTGCAATTGATTAGATAGAGTGGGAGGTGAAGAATGAGCTTGTTGGTTCAAGCCCCCTCAATACACCCCTTGGGGAACTCTCCCAACCATGGTTTCCACGGTGGGATGGTTCCTAGGCTTGGAGCCTATGTAGCAATTAGTTGGGTTGGGAAAACCCAACCTAGAATCATTTGTATGATTCTGTTTATAATAGAGTAGATTATAACACTTAACTGACAGTTTCTGATTGGTTGGAATTCCAACCTTTTGAATTGCACTTTGATGGGTTGGCGTATTCCAAACCTCAAGGCTGAGGATTGGAGACCCAAACCAACATTCCCATCCCAACCCAACCTTCTTCCTCCTCATATCAATTCCCGTCGAAACACTTTCCGGCGATCGCCTTATGAGATAGGAGTACGTTGGGCAGTAATAGGTAATGCGTTACACTTGCGTTCGTATCATGTGTTTGCATGAAAACCCTCGAGCGATAAAAACTTGCGAATGTGTCCGCATTCTTTTCGTCCAACCCGAAATCACTCTCTATAAAACAAACCTTACAAATGTTTTGCAATTCGCGCAAACTTTCACACTGTAGATGAGCTAGAAAATCATCAGATCTTACCAGTACAGATAAACGACAATTACCACTACTGGCGCGAATTTGGGGAGATGAACTATCCGCACCTTACTAAAATCAGCAATAGTAACCACACTAGTATGTGAAGCGGCGAACGCTAAAGTAGGACTAAAACGCGATCGAGACTATCTACGGTACTGAGATCTAACGAGTTGTGGAAACACGATCAAAGAGTTCATGTGATAATGACTAACGCTTTTGCCTCCAATAATCAGTATGCGAGGGTAATGCTGGGCTGTCGCTTCTAGCGAGATGTACGGTGATGGCGTAAATAATCCTCACTGCCTTGATGAATGATAATATGTATGGCAGGTGATAATTTGTGAGGTCTGGACTCCCGACCGTCGCTACAAGGGCAAATGTCGTTAATGCCCTGAACATTAAGGGTTGAGTTTGCCCTAGGTTCCCGATTTTTAGGGTTTGGTTTAAGGTCAGCCTGTCTGCCTAAAGTGATGTCCTCGGAATTCACCCGGATTTCACGTATCAGTCTTGAGGCTAGCCCTTTCCCCCCAATCCCTCCCCACCCCCCCCCCCCCCCCCCCCCCGCCCCATTTCCTGTCATCCCAGTTCCAGGTGCACCATAACTTTCCCGAGAGCTGTACTTGGTAAAATCTCGAGGTTGGGACCTGATCTGGACGTAAGAACCTGATGTAGTTTTAAGTACATATTGAAGGTCCGCGGGAATTCCATCCCTTCTGTTTTCTATCCACAAACAGCCTCACGACTCCTCCTTTGGTCGCAAAAGTAGTGGGAACGCAGCAGACGGGCAATACTTCCATACAAGTACTGGAGAGGTCCCAGTACTTCACCCTTACTCTTTTGAGTCAGATTCTTTCCGCTAAGAGGTTTTTATTAGTAATTTAGCCAAGCGCATGAAGAATCAATTCGGTTGGGAAGTACAAATCCAGGGTGATATCTTGTCTTAGCAAAAGTGCTTAAGACTTTGTAGCCTTGATTTGAAGTGTTGAGTTTGGCCTCAAAACGTAAATATAAGGGCAGATTTCTGGGCAGCTCAGCCCCAATTTCTGGCCCTAGAGCAATCGACAACCCTGGTCGGGAGTCGGGACTCGGGGTTGTTGTTGATAGATTGCAGTGATGGTGTGTCAGGGTGACAAAAACATTCTGTGCTGCCATGGAAACATCCTAGTGGTTTGTGCAAATTCTTTCATGATCACGTTTGTATTTTCAGCTGCCCAGGCCATTCCCCTTGCGCCCCCTCTCCCCTCTCAAGCGGTCCTTCATTAAAGTGTATATGGGGTACAAGCAAGGCATGTGCAAGATTCAAGCAAGCAAAGCGTAGGCGTTGAGCAAACAGTCTAGGTATTTGGCCGGCTAGCCTGCAACCATGCGACCCCAACGGTGACCAGGCCAAGCCAACACCCGTCTGTAAGGTCTGCCCAATGGCTGGCCAGCGCAGCCGAGAGTCCTACCCCGTGCCCCGAGCCCCTGTACCGCAGCCTGGAGCGTCCTCTCATGGCCTGGATTCTCATGGCTCCTGAGAAACCCGTTCCGACCTCCGTAGACAGCTACCTGTCGGCTTAAAATTGTACCACTAAGCTACAGTAGGGTCACTCCTTAGCGATTACAACACTTTAGGGTTAGGTTTCCCCTACTTGTACTCACCTCTTGCCTAGTTCAATCATTCATTCCTAGTTCTATTCTTGACATGTTATCAGATTAGGAACCGTTCCTACATGGGCCCGCCATTACGCCTAGTGGTAGCGCCACGCCCTACACAGTAGCCAGCGCGCTGGCGCCCCTAGCTCTCACTGTCGCGACCCTTGCAGCCCGTGCGCTGCCCCTGTGACCGCGCTGCCCCTACAGCCGTGCTCGCCCCTACGACCGTGCTGCCCCTGCAGCCGTGCTCGCCCCTGCTACCGTGCTGCCCCTGCAGCCGCGCTTGCCCCTGTGGCCCGGGCGCTACCCATGCAGCCCGTACGTTGCTCCTGCAGCCCATACATCGCCCCTGCAGCCGTTCACGCTGCCCCTGCAGCCCGTTCACGCTGCCCCTGCGGCCCGTTCACAGTGCCCCTGCAGCCCGTTCACGCTGCCCCTGCAGCCCGTTCACGCTGCCCCTGCAGCCCGTTCACGCTGCCCCTGCAGCCCGTTCACGCTGCCCCTGCAGCCCGCGCGCAGACCTACCAAGCCGCGCGTCGCCTCTGCAGCCCGTCCGCGCGGCCCCTGCAGCCCGCGCGTTGCCCCTAGAGCCCGCGCGCCGCCTCTGCGGCCCGTTCCCGCCACCCCTACAGCTCGCACGCGGACCTGCCGAGCCGAGCGTCGCGCTCTGCTGCAGCCCGCGCGTCGCGCTCTAAGGCAGCCCGTCGCGTCGCCCTCTGCTGCACCTCGTGTCGTGCACTGCTGCAGCCTGCGCCAGCGCCCTGCCCTCTGCGCGCTGGCGCCCTGCCCTCCGCCAGCGCCTTGCCCTGCGCCCGCGCCCTGCCCTGCGCCAGCGCCCTGCTATACCCTAAATATAATTAAATTGTTTATTAATTAAAAAAAAAAAAAGAGGGCCCTAGGTGCTTCTGCCCTAGGAGCTACTGCCTACTAGTGCCCTGCTGTGGCCGCGCGCCGCCCTGCTGCTGTTACTACTACTGCTGTTGCTACTCGTGCTACTGGGACTAGTGGAGGTGCTGCTGGCGCTGTAGGAGCTGGAGGTGCTGGACCTACTCCTGACCGTCACTGTCTGTCATGGCCACTTCCGCGGCAGTTGTTGCGGCCAAGGGTGGACAGCAGCGGGCACTCCTTCTCCCGGACGACCCCACCCCTCGGCAGCTTCGCGGGTGGGTTATTCAGCGAGGTCGTCCTGGTGGTGGAGGTTATCATTGTGTTAGGACTGCTGCTCTAGGAGCTAGAGAGTCTGCTGCTCTAGGTGCTAGAGAGTCTACTGCCGCTCCAGGCGCTAGTGAGTCTGCTGCAGTTTTAGGTGCCCGTGCGTCTGCCGACGCTCTAGGTGCTAGTGCGTCTACTACCACAATGCCGGCCTCAGATGAGGACTTGCACACTTTCACGGTTGACTCAGGCGCGTCACGTTGCTTCTTTCGTGATTCCACCACAGTCACACCACTCACAGCACCTGTCCCAGTCTCACTGGCTGATCCCTCTGGGGGGCTAATGGTTGCGAGAGCCTCCACGGTCCTTTCTTGTCTACCAGTCCCCTCCGGCTCTTTGTCAGGTCTCCACCTCCCCACGTTCTCGACGAACTTGGTGAGCAACCCTACCATTCAGGATGTCTGGGTTGATACCTTTATTCCTGGAGGGCAGTGTGTGGCGATCTGTACGTGCTCCCGGACTGGCCGTCACCTGGCTACGTTCACTCGACAGCCTGGGTCTAGTCTATACACACTAACCATTGCGTCTGCACAGGTGGCTGAGTCAGGTCACGTAGCTACGTCGAGTCAAGCGTCTGCGTCAGGGCAGTTAGCTGGGTCTTGCTCGTGCAGAGTACTCGCACACAAGACTCACCGCTGGCACCACTGTCTTGGTCACCCCTCCCTGCAGCGTCTGCGCGGCATGCACTCTCGGCTCCTGGTCTCTGGCCTCCCTGAGACCCTGCCCCCCCTCCCGCGCTCAATTGCGTCGCCGTGCCTTCCTTGCATCGAGGGGCGGCAGCGCGCCGCTCCTCACTCCTCCGAGTTTCCTCTGACCACT